TCGTTTTCATGTGCTCCGATGGTTCACATGCGATTGAAACATGCTTCGAATTCTGAAGTTTGTGGAGCAGTAGTTTGGGATGTGGCTGATCAGGTGACTGTTAGTCTATCAGGTGGGCTTGACAGTTGGCCTGGAGGCGCTTTCCCATCATCCGATGAAACATCACCGGCGCGCAGTAGGGATGGAACTTGTGAATGCCAGTTACGAAGCCCAATGAGTGGAAAAACCCATCTGACCAGTTGCCACCAAACACATTGCCAGTAGTTTCGGAGCGCCCAGGCTTAGTTTTAATTAAAGTTGATCACTTCTGATCACTCTGAATGGCCTCTTAACCCCGCCTACGTATGTACGAAATTTAGTCGCAACATTACATAGTTGCCATTCGTCTGTAGGAACACGAGGGGTGCCAGACTGTCCGAAAAGTCGGTCAGCAGCTCATGCCTCAATTTCTGCATGTATGGAACTGCTACTTTTCTGGTTGGGTTAAACACAGCATGATGATCTGTGGACAAAACCACGTTGAATTTTCCCAACGGTATCCAATGCTTGGACGGAACCTTTTAAATGATTGGACTCTACCTCTACACTTACTCCGTCTTGACATCCTCCTTACTAAGCTAACATTATCCCCCCCCCCAGAATAATTTAGGACTCTAGGACTCCTAGGTCATTCGTATGTGGGTGTGAACGATTTGGTGATGTCACTATTCTCTGCCTGCACCAGGTTCTCTGTCAGCGGAGTGTTGAAACTCCAACTCAAACAAAAAGCGGTCACGACTGTGACTGGGATTTCGACCGCTCCCCAATAGATGGCATCGTCTAATTTCCGTTGCCCTAGCCATGTGACGTCCTAAAAGTTACCGCATCATTTTTCCACCCCGGTCACTTCAACAGTGTGGCATTTCCATCGAACGCTTCCTTGCTTCGCTGCTGCTGAGGTTATTGTAGGATGTTTGATTGATTTGAGCGACTTTGTTGATTTGCCGGCACTGGAAAGGTGATTAGCAATGGGCACAAATTCACCGCTTCTTGTCGCTACTTCGTCACTTTTAGGATGGCCGCAATCCACTACACGAATTATGCCGCAGTAAGTCACGCGATGCAGTCGGT